GATAGAAGTCCATATTTGCTCAAAGTGGAGTGGAATTTTTAACGGAGGGAAAATGATGTAAAATGTTCTCCTTCCCTCCGTTAATAGTTCGTATTGTCTTTATTATTATGATAATTCTCATATTATCACCATCGAGCAATCAGGTAAGTAATCTTTTGTTTTTTTTCAGAGGCCAAAGTGAGAAAAAAGTGGAAATACCTACGTGACCAATTTTCGGTTGAATTGGGGAAGTTGCCTGTTAGACGTTCAGGAGATGCTGCAGAAGATGACCTGCAATCTAAATGGCCATATTTTTCGCAGCTTCTCTTTCTGAAGGACATAGTGAAACCAAGAGCTTCCAGCGGAAATTTATCTAGTGCTAGGAAATCCACCCAGCAAACTTATGAGTATGACGCTAGCCAAGCCTCTACTGGAGGTGATCGTCTTGACGAAGATGAAGATGACAACCAAACCACACAAGATTCCAACCAAGATGAGATTGTTTCCGAAAATATTGAAGAGGGTGGCACCGAAAATAATGAAGAAAATGGTACCGAAAATGTTAAAAAGGATAGTGTACATAATAACTTAACTTCTCCAGCAAGTACCTCGACTGTGACCCCTGTGACTAAAAGAAGACGAACACTAAATGACACATTCAACGCTTCTGTATTAGAAATTGAAAAACGTAAACTGGAATACCTTGAGGCAAAATCCAAGAGAAATAAGGACCAAGAGGATGAGCATCTCCTGTTTTTCAAAAGTCTCTCACCTCATGTGAGAAAAATTCCACAATCCCGAATATTATCGTTTAGATGTCGGGTTCAGGAATTGGTCAACCAGTCAGCATACAATGAAACAGCAATCTGTACACAACCATCAACTTCTTCTTCGCCATTTTCTTGTTCAAACTCCTCGGGCTATGGAGTACCAAACCAGAATATTCCCCCATCAGATGACAATACTACTGCATACAATTTCTCACTAACGGATTATACCGATTTGTAAGGTTCAATTTATTATAATAAAGTATTCGTTCCTAACTTTGATTTTATTCATGATAAATCAAATAACTTAGGTACCTCAAAGTGATCACAAATCTTTCTTCAGGTAGAATCGGCTGCTTATGTAGATTACACCAATTTTTAGTTAGTCGGTGCTGAATTTTTTTCAAAATATACTGAAATGTTTCCCGATTCATTCGCGTGTATTGGAAGAACCTTTTCTCATCATTTTTCAATTTTTTAAATAAGTGATGATATTCTCCGAACTCTGACCTAACGTGATTTAGGGGATGGATACCGACTTTTTTTCTTGACAATTTCATAGCTACAGAATCTAGAGCAATCATATCATCGGATGATGATGACGACGACATCTTTTCTGCTCAAAGTTTCAAACAAAACTACCAGTTTCAGCCTGCTATTACTCGCTTTTACTCTGTCCACTCTAAGCGCGAGAAAACGGCGCCTATCGGCGCCGGCTGTCGGTAAGCGGAAAGTCTGCTTCCACTGTGTTTCTACACTTAGACTGCAAAGGACGCTTGGAGTGGCCTAATAATCAAATAGCAATTGCTAACACAGAAAATTGTGGTGTGCACTGTTGAATGTGAATTTGAGTTTCATCAGTTTGTGCTGGAGCATAGGTATTACACGAAGTGGCTGATGAGTTTTTATCATATTGTTTTCAATTTCTAAGACACAATAGTGTGTCTGCATGGTGAATAAATCATACTAGCATTTACTTCTCCATCAAGTGTTATTATTAATTGAATTCCTATATATTTCTCATCGTCTGACTCTAATTCTGACCAATTTGATAACTATTAGGCATGCTGATACATTTTCTCTAAAGCTTGTTCTATAGACTTCCAAGATGGCGGAAACACTGAGAGGGTGGGGTCTAGGAAATTTTGTTGGAAGATTCCGCAAGGTAAAATGGTTGATCTCCCTGTACATAGGATGATGATTGTACGGATCAATTGTGAGGAGATGACAAGTGCAAATTCATATAAGTGAATAGATTTATGAGAATGGATGCAAATCCACAAAATCCTTGATTGAAGAAACAAGGCTCGAATATGAAATTAATTAGATAGTAACCAATATTTGTTAATAGTTAACATGCCTGTGTTATTGTCAATCAGTATTCAACAACTGTTCAGATATCCATAAACATGCCAAAATTTTTGTATCTCATCCATTTCAATCCGTCCAAATGTGCTTCGAAATTGATGCATCAGATGAAAAATCATGACTTTTCGACCTAATGAACATCGTTGAGGAAAACCTGATAGTTTCTTATTTTCTTATACTTTACAATCATTTTGAATGATTAAATGCAATTTCAACATCCTTTCGTGCGCTCCAAGAGATGAAAAAATACCGTACCGATTATTAAATGGGACAAGATATATTATCTCTATCAAGAACTTGTTTATTTTTATGTTACAGATCATTCATATCAATATAGTGGATGCTCGATACCACCTGGATTTCCGGTCTGATTTTAGCTCTTTTCATTCAGATGTTTCGATATCAAGATATATGTGATGTCACTATACTGTGAACTTTTGCTCAAATAAATTTGTTCTCAGAGACTCTTTATTCTTTCTGTTAGGAAAAAACAATTGGAACCATCGATCATCGACTCAAAATATTAACTATATCAATAACCAAATAATATATTATATATTGACGAAGCATAACTTATCAATAACAAAATGATTCCTTATGCTATAAGTAATGCTTCTTTATTGAAACAATGCCTCCTTTCTGTACAACACTGGAAAAGCTAAAATTAAAACGCATTGTATCAAGTTTTAATATAGATAACTTAACATATAAGTGACAGTCGATTGCATTGAGAAAACGTTAATTGAATTTAAAGTAACGTTACATTATTATAAACAAATCTATTTTAATGTAAAATGGGGAATAGTGTCCACAAAGTGATATTTGTTAATATTTAATATATGTTTCTTGAGATCAAGATGATTATAACTTAATATTAACCTGTATATTTGTTTGTAATTTTTTAAAATACCATTAGTTTGTGATGAAATCATGTTAGTTAGTCCATATTCAACAACGTCATTCGTTAACAATAAATAAAATTTCTTTATTGTTAATAAACTGTTCTCTCAGTGTACATGAGGGAAAAAATGGGAAATGAAATATTTCGGTTCTACGAGGAGAGAGGTATTCTTTCCAACTCTTTGCAATGCCAACTAGTCAATGCTACCTGTGCTCTCCTAGTAGAGAGATATAACGGACTTGAGATTCCAGAGAGGGCAAAAAGAAATCTGGCAGCGGCAATTGTTACAATTTTTCCAAAGCTTCGAGATAATATGAGTATCAATGGTTATGTAAGCTAGATCATCAAGTTTTTGAATGGCAGCTTTCAATACTTTTTGTTATAGGATTTATAGCAATCACAATGGTGGCGAAGGAAAAATATCGTGGCGCCTCAGGACTATAGCGAGATCTTCGAAGGACCAAAACATTCTGCAACAAGTCCATGAGCGAAAACGAAAGAACGATGCAGCTGTCCTACCAAGGAATCAGTCATCAATGAAACGAAAAAAAAAATGAATGAAGGGGTTGAACTGACTCCGTTCATTAGCGATGCTATTGAATTTTTGAAACACGCATGTCCAAAAAACGATCTAGATATAATTCTAGATAAAATGGACCGATATTCTCATGCATATTTCAAAATTATACCTACTTATAATTATTTGGTGTCTGCACATATTCATACTTTTTCAGAAAATGTTAATGTTATGAGAGTTAAATGGTTGAAATATGGTTATATTTATAAAAATACATATTTCATTTGCACGGGAAAATTTCAAGATCTACCACAATTTGAGAAGATTATCGATATAATTATAATTGAAAATAACACATTTTTCATTACTGAAAAGTGGAGAACTATCGAATTCAGTGAGATATTACATTCTTATAAACTGGTTGTCGAACCAGAGGTGAAAAACGATTATAATGTTATCACTTTGTCCACATTATTGTACAGAGAACCCTATGATATTCATTCATCTTCAGTGTTATTGTACACTACAATGATTCGATTAAAAACTCTATTAAACACTGTTTAAAGTGTTGATAAACACTAATATAAATCTACAAAGTGTATATAATTCCACCTTATATATCACACTACTAAGGTTCAAATATACTAGAAGTGTGAAGATTTCAACATCATAATAACACAAGAACTTGTGATTGAACTCTATATATGAACACTACTTTTGTGGGTATTCACTCTAAGAGTGTGGTTCAACTCATAGTGTTACTATTGAACTCTATTTAGAGGGACCTGTATAGACTTTGCGCAGTGTTGAGTAGTGTTCAATATTAACACTATATTTCTAAGTGTGTAGCCTGATTGTTCTAAATTTTTAAAAACAATATTATATTTTGTTTCACAAAGTACAACCAAAGACTCGACCAAAGATAAAGGATGTTCATATATATTTTAAAACCCCCATGAGTTTATTATCATACACCGAAAGAAAAATCTCAGTAATAGTTATCTAATGTTTGTTATCGTCAAATTTGTTTATAATTACTTATTCTTATTCATAATTAAAAAGGCTTATTCATCAAAATGAAAACTGATTCTTTGCTTTATTTATAATCAATAGATGATTTATTACTGCCATATTTGTTAACTTTGAACAAAATCATTTAATAATTAACAATTCATTTATTACGCCGACTTACGCAGTGATAATTAATGAGATCAATTTATAATTATCATTTGATTTAGTAATTATCAACAATGATTCAGTGTCAGTTAATAAATGTTATGTGTTTCTTTATTATGATTCATTCAATTATTATAAATCAACGTAATATAAACGAGAACAAACGATATTCATTGTTATTCATCATTTGGTATTAATAAACAAACTGTCATGCGCGTGACCTAATCCCGCTTTGCGTGATGGGCCACACTGGCTTCGTTTTTCGTGCCTCCATTTTACTGTGTTGGTTTGGCGCTACCGAATGCCGCTAACTGGACCGCTAATAAGACATTTGCATAATTATCATCATAATAATAATTATAATATCATTTGGGCATCAGTGTGGGCAGTGTGGTCGTCAGCATCGTGGTCAGCATTGAGTTCAAAGGTCTTCATAGTGTTTGTTCTGGTGGTGATTCTTTTATTCGGATACTATTATGCAGAAATAATGGCGGACGGCAGTGCATCAGACAACACCTCGATTAGCACATTTTTGAAAGAATGCGGTGCTAATCCAGCAATATTGGCAAATTTTGAACGTAAGTACCAAGGTAGTCAGCAAGACAGTTATAATTAAGTATAATTTTGCTTTGTATTCTCTGCAGAATTAGGTAGGTATGTATAGGTTATATGGTTATATGGTATACAAGATGGTATAGGTAGGTGTTCAACTCATAAAAGTCGTAGTAGGAATAACAATCCTGATGAATACCCACCGAAATGCAAGCTCAACTCAAACTTACCTACATAGGTACCGTAAAAATTGTTTAGCTAGGTATATGTAGGTGTAGGAAGCAAGGTAAGTACAGGCGTCTTCTGAAAACATGTCGCACAATGGACGACGATGGCATTCTTGATAACTCATGAAATAAAAGCGCTGACACCGTCCAATGGCGACGTTCAGAAGACGACTGTAAGTACTTGAAATGAGTGTGAGAAATTTTCATAAAATTTACCTATATTCCAGTAGGTAGGAGAATCTAATTAATTATAATAATTATTATATAGTATTATTCATCATTTAGGTGAGAAATTTCCCTTTCAATATTCTTGGGAATGATTTAAGTGATGTCTTTATATAATAATTATACAGTGTGTCCCGAGGTGTGTCATATGGGTAGGTGAAGTGATCTCAATAATTTTTATTTTAGGTAATTACCCGTCTATATTTTCTTATTCGTTGACTGATATCAAATATATTTTTTCTCAACATTCACCTAGATACTCAATGCAATCTACATTCATCATTATTCAACTTCACATATACCTATTGCACTTTCCAGCTATAATTGATTATTATATTTATATCTTGAAAAAAACAATTTCAAATACATTGATTATTTTCTTGTAGGAACAACATATTTATGTTCCTGAAGGGGTAAGTCAGTAAGTATCTCAATATAACCATGATAGGTATACTTTTTGATTGGTTTTTCCCATGGAAATACATGTGGTATACCTACCTACAGTTAAATATAAAGTATGACATTTGAATAATGCCTAAAATGCTCAGCCTAATGGCTGTGTAATAATGAAGTGAAAAATTGAAAATCTAGATCACTTTCAGTAAAAAGTTGTTAGTAGGTACTATTGGATATACTATAGGTATGTGTTGAAATAATTTTTTTTTATACCAGACCATGAATAAGAAAATATAAAGGTGTTTGATTTAACTGGGTTGCTCATGCAGTTTTAAAAAACCATAGATCTATGAAAAAACTATCTGGATTTCGAAAACTCATACCTACCATCTACCCTTGTTCAAGTTCTGTGAATGAAATAACATATTCTTTTAGAAAATGGAATTACTGACCTGGAGCTGCTAAATGAAGTTTCACAAAGTGAAGGGGATTTCAGGCAGTTAGTGCCATGTATGGGTACTAGATTGAAAATAAAGCTCAAATTGAGAAATTCCTTAGAGGAAATGTAAGCTAAGTATAAATTTATATGATTTTCCCTCGCTAATATATTTCTACATTTATATATATATACAGGGTGTACCAAAATATGGCTGGGACACAGAGCTATCACATGTAATGGAGGTCAAAATAAGTCAATTAAACCCAATTTTTTTATATGCCAAAATGTACCATTTGTCCTTGAGGAGAGTTATGAGTTCAGATGAGAAAAACTGGTGCATTTAAATTTTTTGTATGTTGAATCGACATTTGTACTGATAAAGGTGGCCGTCATATTGAAAATTTATTATAAAAAACGTTCTGCCTTTATTTCCACTGTCAACTAAATTTTGTATCACAATGTTATTAAACATGTACTGGGAATATCTGTTAGCATTATTGAATTAAACATTTTTTTCCTCCGGAAATATATGGTTTTTACAAGAGTAACAAAATTAAGAAAATTAACCTGTCTTTCATTTGAAAAAAATTGAGAACTATAAAACCACGATAAGAAATTTCTGAAAAAAATGTCAAGGGGTGAGGGTAGTTTCAGTCCTTCAAGAATTTTTTTTCAGTTTCTTTGATCACTGAAAGGCGAGTAATCATCTAAAATGCACTTTCATCAAATTTCATTCATTCCTGAACAGCAAACGAAAATGAGTCTTTTTATGTAAACTTTGAACACTTCTCATGAACAAACAGTACATTTTGGTGTATAAATTAATTGGGTCCAATCAACTCATTTTGACCTCTATTATATAAACAAGGTAGCTCTCTGTGTCCCAGCAGTTTTTGGACACCCTGTATATATATATACAAAATACTGCTCATTTCAAGTGAAGCCATGCATTGTCGTTTTTTGAAGAAGAAAGGTAGATTTAAAATACATTTTCAGGATGTGTTACTGATAGGTCCAAATAGGTGATATAATATAATACAGGGTGAGTCCATAGTGTTTCTCCTTTGATATTAGCCAAACCGTCGGATATATAAAAAAGATTGGGAAACAACAGTTATAGGGTTTCATGTGAACTATCACCTGAAATTGTTTTCATATCTATAGGGCGTTCAAATTCCAAGATATCGGCTGATGAATGTTTTTTTTATTGGGACACCCTGTATTTAATTGCATTTTTTCATTCTCCTCGAAGAGCTGATTTCATCAATGCATCACACTTGGGGTCTAGTCAGTGAGAATAATCTCTGAAAATCAAGATTTTTCCAAATATTTAGGATTTTTTGTGCCAAAGATCTGAAAGGTAACTAAGTAAATTATATTCTGTTTGTTTTTATGGGGAAAAAGTGCTCCTCTACTAATAGTTCCTTCATATTTCCCAAGTTTATTTTTAATCACAGTAGGCCTTCATAAAATTCTAAGTACCTTCCTACTCCAAAATACTAGGGCTCTTACACTCCAAACCAGTATTCTTACATTTCAAGCGAGGGTTCTTACACTCCAAGCAAGACACACTGTACATAATTACTTATTATTCATTCCAGAATATTACCTTTTGAAGATGACATCATCAGTGAAGGTACTGTTCAGGAAAATACTAACAGGTAAATAATTTGATACAAAAAGAATAATATTGACTGAACAAACTATTGTTATCCATGATGAAATATCTTTTTCTACATTCATGCAAAAAGCAGAACTTTATTGAACTATATTTAGTGGAAAAAGAAGTTCTTTATTGCACTTAGTGCAATAAAGTTTTTATTGCACTTATCTGTCATTCTACTTCAACGTGCTGTCATCATAACAAACATTTTTTATATTGCAACTGTGGTTATAGAAACGTCAGTCAAAAATTAAGTTGCGTTTTTCATTTTCCTACACCTAGTGCCGCACCTCAATAAATCATTTTTTGCTTTTTGCATGAACGTAGAAAAAATTTTGTATGCAACTTGTGCAAAAATTGTTTATTGCACTCTACGTGTTGTCCGACTCGGCCTAGCAATTAACATTCACTTTCTGCACTTGTTGCATAAATATCTATTATTCACATTGTAACAAATGATTTTTCACTAAGCCTATGTTGTCATTTCGAAAAATTATTCGATTGTATAAACTGTGTAAATAGATATACAAATATATTTCATAGTGGATATAGGACAAAATAGTTTGTTGATTCAAATAATATTTTCCCCTGCTCCATGTTGACTAAAATTTCACCTAATTTCAATTCTATTTCTCATGTATGTTGCATTCTTCAATATCCAAAATGTTTACTCACTAATAATTGTTACTGATGTTTACCTTCCATTCATTTTCAAAATAGTTCCAATTGGACAATCAACTCCAGGCTCTAATGCTTGGGAAACTACCAGCAGCAGGTAAATAACAAATTGATTATATTCATTATTAATTATTTATTCAAATCATGGGTAACATAATTTCAACTCAAAACATTTTCAGCATAAGTCACATTGATTGTGAGGAACCCCCTAACAAATATATTATACTAGAACATATTGACCTTCCAAAAGCACAACCAAAAAAAAATCAGGCAGTGTTGGAACCTGATGTTGACAAGCCACAAGAAATTGAATTACCCCATCTACTTGAACAGACCATAGTTGGAAGGGCTATCAAGAGTATTTACAAACTGAAAAAGCAGCTTGATTCAAGATGTCAAGCTTATCTAGCTGATATAATCATTCAACACTATGTGAACATTCGACCCTTTAGGTATGTTTTGAGTTCTATATTCAGTTATACATGGTGTTGTTTACCAAAGTTTAGCAAGATGATGCCTTCATTTCATGTCACATAATAGTAGAAAATAGTAGGCTTTGAAATAACAATATTTTTATTTTAAAACCTGCTATTGTTTTGTATCATCATTTCTTGTCCAAAATATGGAACTTGTTGACATTTTATGAATCAGAAATATGCACTACCTAATCGAATTGTCAAAAAATATGTATGGTGTTGTAAAATCAAAGTTGATGTTGATTCTGGAAAATTGAATAATAATTGATGGTTGAATGCTTTTAGGAGGCTGCAAAATTCGGATTTCAATAAGATCTCTCAAGACATCGCAAAATTATTTCCTAATGAAGTACCTGGAGTTTATTATACTGCACCAATAAAAAAGAGGAACTCCAGGAATAATAAAAGTATTGTTGCAAGAGGGAAGCTCATTGATAAATACAGGAACAAACTCAGTTTTTTGAGGAAGGCAAGCGCATTACCAACAAGATTATTTGATGAAACTGATACAGATGATTCAAGTCATTTTGCGGATGGTGTGTATATCATATTATTATTAATCATAACTAGTCAATTATTATATATATACAGTGTGACCCATTTAAGATGGAAGCACCCTTATAAAACTTACATTTTTCAACCGATTGGAATGATTTTTTTTTTGTTAGGTAGATATTCAAAAAGTCTATTAGGACACCAAATATCATGAATAAATCTCCATTTCCAGGGCCAACTAATCTGATTTTTCAAGGTCAAAAATCTAAAAAAATTACTAGCGATTTTTTTAGAAAAAATCTGACTACTGGATTTGTGACATTTTCAAATGGGTAACATGTAAATTACGTTGAAATGCGTCGATCAATAAAAAAGTTATCAAAGGAATGAAATTTGAAAAATATGCCGTTTAATCAACCCACCAATTCATGTTCAGGAATTTTATGAGAATTCTGTATACTCCACTGGATTCAGGATGTCTTGAAATATTACTGATCACAGTTTCATCGAAATCTGTTCAGTAATAAAAATTGATGGGTTGATTAAATGGCATATTTTTCAAATTTCATTCCTTTATAACTTTTTTATTGATTGACGCATTTCAACGTAATTTACATGTTACCCATTTGAAAATGTCACAAATCCAGTGGTGTAGTCAGATTTTTTCTAAAAAAATCGCTAGTAATTTTTTTAGATTTTTGACCTTGAAAAATCAGATAAGTTTGCCCTGGAAATGGAGATTTATTCATGATATTTGGTGTCCTAATAGACTTTTTGAATATCTACCTAACAAAAAAAAAATCATTCCAATCGGTTGAAAAATGTAAGTTTTATAAGGGTGCTTCCATCTTGAATGGGTCACACTGTATATATATTATTTTATTGATAAAATGAAACTGGTTATATTCAAGATGTACAAATAGACTTCGAAGACGATGTGACCTGGCTTAAAAATAGCCGCGCTCCATGGGCAGAAGTTCAAGAAAAATGGTCCAACACATTTCCATTCCGACAAGCTTTATTGTCTAAAGAAGTGGGAATACAAGAAATACTTGACGAATTTTCTATTATCAAAGATCCCTTGGGATACACACTAGTAGATTCCGATTTCAAATTGAGATATCCTGGGAACTATCGAAAAATTTACACTAAATTTGAATCTGTCTTCAATAGCCTACTGGAGACGCGCAGGAAACATCTTACACCAGCAGATAATTTGATCCTAGATATTATTCAGTCTCCTGATGTTAACCAAGGTAAAACATTAAAACAATATTTATTTTATATACAGGGTCGCTGATATGTATGGAAACAGGTGAATATCTCGGTAACCTGTTGTTGGATTTTTTTGAATTTATGTACTGTGTGATTTCAAAACGTGGCAGATTTGAAAATGTTATAGCCAATGTTGCCACTTTTTCAGTTATACTGGATTTTTTATTAACTTCCTTATTTTGAATAGAACACCCTGTAATTCATTGGATTTTCAGATTCTTCCTGAAGAGCTAATTCCATCGATCTATCACACTTGGGGTCTAGCAGGAATGAATACATAGGTATAGGGTGTTTAAAATCTAGATTTTTCAACTTTAGTATTTTTTAGTGTCGAAACTATTCATTATCGATCAAAACCGCTCCAATGTTTCCATCTTTACTTCTGATTTACTATCCACTGACATTTAATTGAAACAAATACAGGGTGGTTCAAGATTCAGAATTCTGATCACCCTCTGTATCTGTTCCAATTAAATAGTCAGTAGATGGTAAATCAAAAGTGAAGATAGGAATATTGAAGCGGTTTTGATCGATAATGGATAGTTTCTACACAAAAAAATCTTGAAGTTGAAAAACCTAGATTTTAAACACCCCATACCTATGTAATCATTGCCGCTCGACCCCAAGTGTGATAGATCGATGGAATCAGCTCTTCAAGGAGAATCTGGGAATCCAATAAAGTACAGGGTGTTTCATTCAAAATAAGGAAGTTACTAAAAATCCGGAATAACTGAAAAAGTGGCAACAGAGGCTATAACATTTTCAAATTCACCACGTTTTGAAATCACACTGTACATAAATTCAAAAAAATCTAACAACAGATTGCCGAGATATTCACCTGTTTCCATACATATCAGCGACCCTGTATACTTATCGGCATGAAGTGAATATTTACATTTGTGGATATCTTGACTCTTAACTAATTAACTTCCAAGTACCTAACTAATTAAATTTGTGAGAGGAATCCATCTCAAAGTAGCCCAATTCATTTTAACAAATATATAAATGAATAAAATATTAAGTTGGTCAACCACTAATCCAGTGAGTTGATAATACAGTCACCTACTAGTTCTGGCTGTATCCCTATCATCAGACCTTTGAAGTAAGATTAACTACATAAAGATGTGATGAATAAATTTGAGTTCTAAGGTATGCAAACACTCAAAATTCATTTACCTACCACCATTATGGTATACTTTTGCCCTTCTTCAGAGGCCTGATGATAGCAATATGCCAAAACTTAATAAATGTTAGGTCAGTCAGGTTATCAAAGAGTGACAATTTCCATTCAAAGTTCAATTACTATTGATAACTCAATTTTACAATTTCAGAATCTAAGACCGTTTTGATGCTGAACATCTTGATTTCTTTGCTGCCTACAAAATCATTTAATAAGAAATCAAAAACCAACTGGCATCCTACAGTTAATGAATCAAAGGAAGGCATTTTCGTTCAAATTAAAGTAAGTGAAATACAAAATCAATAGTAACAATTTTTCCTATAAGTACAGGGTGTTTCCGATATCAGGGCGATAAATAAAATATTTGCCCAAAACAATTTATTTGGAAGATATTGAACTTCAGAGTTTTCCTGAAACATTTGTGAATAATTGATCAGAGGTAAATATCCGAACCTAGGCATTTTCTTTCGGCTAGGTCAGAAACACTGAAGTATGGATGACTTGCAATGTTGCCAGTTGCTCAATAATAGTTGAAAGATGTGGTATGACTCGACATCCATGTCAGATTCTTTGAATCTGACATGGATGTTTTTTCTGAAAGCATGTCTATATGCACGACTTAGTCGCAAGGTATGATTGATGAATCTACCTATACACCTTGCACTTAAGCCACTAGATGGCTATGAAGGCTAGATCGTCCTTCTGTCCCCTCAGGGCTTCGACTTGTTTGATATATGGAGGTACCCTTCGTGAATCGATTGTCAGCTGGCCAGTGCAACTGATGAGACTTATGGCAAGTCGAAACAGTCAGTCTTGCATCAGCTGACAATCGATTCACGAAATTCCCTAGAATCTCTTAGTCTTGAGATTCTAGGTTTATCAGATGTGGTTGAGCACACATCTTGAGAAACATTTAATTTTTCTTGTGATCCATCCTATCATTATGTCTTATACGATGCCCAATTTCATTTGTAGCCCAAATTTTGGAAACACCCTGTATTTTCAAATGATTTGTTATTGAAATTTTTCAAGATCATCTTTTCCTCATCATACCAAACTTGAGCAGCAGATTTTACGATCAAAAATGAGAAAAGATGTTCCTATCAACTTGGGCCGACAATTGCTTCATAAGGGAGCGATAGCCCCCTAAAAGTAAGTTCCTGAATATGTTTTTTTTTTAATATCTCCGAAACTAGTTGGAGTGAAGTGATGAAATTCTGCACGTACTCAAAAGTGATCATGCTCAGTAGGATGGATAGTCATTTGAAAATTTTTCCCGGGTGTAGGGTACCTTGGGGGAAGGTAGGGTACAAACTACCCCAACTTATTTGTGCATATTTTTTCCGAGATTCTATGCAAAATTATAAAATTTCAGGGTGTTTTACAGAGAAAATGTGATCTCAATAAACTTCCATATGATGCACTGTTTTCGAGTAAAATTGTTTTGATTTTTTGCAAGGTGCTACAAAAATGCTAGATGTGAAATCTTAGGGGCTTTGGCAATTTATCTGACAGCTGGTTGAGCTGGTGACAGATGCATTAGTCGGATTCTAATTTTAGACAAAGTACGTTTTCTATAAAATGACGGAGTCTACAAATCGAGAACTTGCAGACATGTCTATGGTGTAATAATTATAATGCACGTCAGGCTTACCAAAAAAAATTCAGAACAATTGCACTCGAAAAAGGTGCATGCTGTTGAGGTTCATTAGGAGCACCGTTTTTCTTTGAAACAGCCTGAAATTTGATGATTTCACATGAAATATTTGGAACATGCACAAAGTTGGGTAGTTTGTACCCCTACTTACCGTATATCCGGGCAAATTTTCATATAACTTTTACTCCTTGCTAGTAGGCATAAAAACTTCTGAATATGTACAAAATTTTATTCCACTGCTCCAACTAGTTTCGGAGATATTAAATGAAAACCATCTTCAGGAACTCAGCTCCGGTATGAAGCATTTTTCGACCCAAGTTTATCTTTTTTTTTTCTTCTTATTATTATTGATCGTAGAATCTGCTATTGAAGGTTAATTTCGGTAAACCCTGTATAAGTGATGTGTGCTTGAATGACGAAGAATAAAAGAAAATTGGAATTAGAATCATGATATTTTTTATATTATTTCTGTTTTTTTAGAATGCTGGTGACCTGGAAAATGTCGTAGAAGGAAAAAGGGCTACTATGAAAAAGTATGGCTTACCCATGTTACCATTTGTTATCGTAGAATCCCCCACCTACACAGAAATCAAAAATATATATGTGAGTTTTGACAGAACAGTTTATAAGCTAATTTCTGTTTTGAAGGCTATAGATGTTTGCTTCCAACTGATACATGTTCTAAATTTAGTGTATCCATTTGAATCAGAGCACATTTGGATGTTTATTCAATTATCAATGTATGAACTAAAAACAAATTTCGACAATATACCCAGTATCCTTGATGTTGTCAATAAAATAAAGGTAGGAGAGCAGACAAAACAAAATTGATTCACTATTAGTGAACATCAAATAAATTTAAATACTCTCATCATTATTATATATGTCGGATAAATTATATCAAAATGCAATGTAAAGCTTGCTCACATAGATTCTCTGAAGACAAGACATTCATTATTCATATGACAAATCATCGATTTCTAAATTCATATGAATGTGGATATATGAATTGTTCTAAATCTTTCGATAGTTCATCAGCTTTGAAAAAACATCTTGCAAACTATCATGTTCATTATAATCCACAAAATAATTTGTCTATTAACCTAGATACAATATCTGTATGCAGAAGTGAGAATTCATCTTCCACAAATCAAGTAGAAACAAAACATAATGAAGTAACTGATTCGAGCCAAATAGATTTAGATAGTTCATCTCATGACAAAGTTGATAAAATCGGAGAATCAGAAATGCAATGTCTACTTTTTGTAACTAAACTCTATAAGAATGATACAATAAATAGGTCTGTCGTTCAGGAAATTATTGACAATACTTCTGATTTACTCAGCAATATTTTTTCTAACATCAAATCACACATTCATAGCTCTAATTATGAAGAATTGAATATATAACTATCAAAAGATTTGTTAGAAACATGCAATTCAGAATATAAACGCTTCAAACTTCTTGAAAATTCCAAATATTTCATTAAACCAACCAGCTTTTTTGTTGGAAATTTGCTGAACAGAAATAGAACTTCAGCAGCTGTATAAAATAAACCTTGTGAAGGTCAAATTATTCCTCTCAGGAAGATACTTCAGAAAATTTTGGAAATACCAACCATTTTGAATGAAATGTTGAATTTCAAAGCAGAAGAAGAGGCAAAAGAGAATGAATTTTCTAGTATATTCAATACTAATTGGTGGAAATCAATAAAACCCAGAATTGAAAACAAATTGGTCCTACCAATATATGTTTATTTTGATGACTTTGAAACAGGAAATCCTCTTGGTACTCAAGCTGGGGTTCATAAATTAGGAGGAGTTTACGTTTCTTCTGCCGCAACACCACCAAAATATTCTTCAAGATAAGAGAATATTTTTTTGTGGGGTCTTTTTTATTCTTCTGATCGAGTGATGTTTTCGAACAAGAATATTTTTCAACCATTCATCAATGAACTGAAATTTCTGGAGTCTGAAGGTATTATCGTTGAAAGAAAGAGAATATTTTTTATTGTGCCGCTTCTGTTGGGTGATAATCTTGGAATCAATTCAATAACTGGCATGACAGAAAGTTTTTCGTCCATTCATTTTTGCAGAGCGTGCACGTCACCAAAAACTTCAACACAAAATATGACTTCTGAAAATCAAAACGTATTAAGAGTCCATTTCACTCATTCTGCTAGGGGATCACCTGAGGAATGAGGTGCGAGAGGGTGACGGCGGTAGGCGGAGACATCGATACCCCTTCCACGGCGAATTCGCAAGCATGTATTCAGTAGAATTGGATGTAATTTGCCCGCAGGCCACTGCCACTAGATTTGATTTTACTCATCTCATTTTATCTATTTTAGAATAGCTTGGCGCGCGCTATTCAATACGGTTATAAAATTGGGCATAGGGCATTTTAGGGTGGAATGAATCAATATTTTTAAAATCATTTGGATACAATTATATTATTCGAAAAACTCAGCCATTCATTAGGATATGGGTTATAGGTATTGTAGGTGAATGTAAATACGAGTAGGTATAGGTATTACCAAAATTCTATTCGGGGATGTGAAAAATACAAAGTGGAAACATACAATTCATCTCTATTTTTTTGGCGTTTTCGATTTCTTATCCGGTTTGTTTTTGGCATCCACTATGGAAACTGGATCTCTAATTTTCATTCCACGGGTATGCCTGGGATCGATTATTTCTGGCAGCAGACAATCACTATAAAACCTTTCTAGTTTGGGAACCATTGTGTTTTGGAAAAAGTCTTGGCGATGTCTATTTTTATAAATATTGCATCTTTCAATGTCCATACTGCAAAATAACAGGTATTCCTGGTACAAATATTCAACTGTCCTTGAACTTGGTAATAATAGTTGTGATTTTTCTTTAATGTGAATTGGCCATCGCCCACATCTACCAGATAATTGATAAGACGTTGCGATACAGCTTCTTTCACGGTTAAATTTCTTGATGAATATGGACATTTTATTTCCACTAAACAATTGTCTTCTGTAACCCCATCGGGGGAAGCTCCTAAAAATGGCCAACGTTCATTCACGAAAATACCACAATCGGAAATCTTCGAACCACATTGAATTTCTAGTTTACGTTTGGCACGTTCTTCATTATTCTTCCCCCAAGCAGTAGCCTTGGAAAAGAAGTGTTTGTATAAAAGACCCTCCACAGTTGAGGTACAACTTGTTGATGGCCGCATTCTGCATATTTTGCCAAAGTTCGATGCTGTTAGAAGATTTTTTCTAGTGTGTTGCCATTCTGCACAATCAGCTTGAAGTCGGGTTCTCTCTTCTAGTTCTTCATATTCCTCTTTAGTTTTCTTCAATTCATCCAAAAAGGTTATTTTCACACTTTCGTAGGTCGTTGCATCCATGTCTGGTTTCTGGCAGTGTTCGCCATAGTTTGAATCCTGTTCACCTTTCTTGATTTTTGGGAACGTTAATTTCCGTTTACATTTCTTATTACGTTTCATCTCGGAATGATGTTTAGCCCTCTCCTCATGTTTTTTTAGAATTTTGCCAGGACTTCGACCTCCAGTCAAATACTTGTAACAGGAGTAAAGAGGCCTATGGGTATTTTTTGACACTACAGCAGCGTAACATCTTCCTTGGTAGCAACCTCTCATAGTGAAGTTGATTCTTTTACCGCCAGTTTTTTGAGCAATCATAGCATTGAATTGTTCAACTACATTGGTGTCGACATTTTCCAAAAGACTTCTCGAATGTCCAGCTAAATACCTTACAGCCTCCATAATTTTTTCTTCAACGCCAAATAACTTCAGCTCAGTCACGTAATTATTCGCATCCGGTTCAGTTTTAGAACAGAAATATTGTAACGATGAACAATTTTTATGTTCGCCAAATATGTGGCTGATGCTATTCAATATGTCTTGCCTGAGACCAATTATCTTTTGTTCTTCTGTCTTATCAGTTTCGCTCTGTCTATACTTGATAGCTTTCATTACAGCAGACCTAGCTCTCAAAATGTTGTTGGATATTACATTCTTGATAGTTCCTGGAACTCCCTTAGCTTTTGTCTGTTCTCTCAATTTATTACAGTAATTACGCAATAAATGATTTCTGCACTCACTTTTCTGGACTGTACAAGTGTTGTATGGTTTACTATCAAGAATCTGTTTGTAGCAGCTACTATCCCCATCACCAATCATTTTATTATAAATCAGATTGTACATCTGCAAGCTTTGGCAAAATCCTTCAGATATTATAGCTGATTCCATGCTAGTAGACGTACTGTTCCAATTTTTATAGCAGGTATGAGGAGGTACTGCTTCACCTTTATTCAAACCCCTCTGGCACACACAACAATATTTGTTCTTCACTCCCAAATATAAAATTTTTCCGGTTTTCAGACCCACAATTGCAGCGACACCAGATAGAGAATTGTAATTGCCTCCTCCCCGATAAGATCGTTTTGCCCAGCTACCATCACAAACTACTGTTATCATCGGGGTTCCATTTTTATCAACGCTTCCACAGTCAATTGCCATTTTACTTTCTTCTGCAGCTGCCTCCCGCATAGATTGCCATGCTGTTTTCTCCCAAGCTTCACAATACTTCAGTGTGCATTTTTTTATAGAAATTGAAACTGAAGGAAGTAATTTCCATAGGAGCAGTCAAGCTTTTCAATTGGGTATACCCACCTCCAGTGTTCATTATACCGGCCACAGCTGCAGTGTTTATATCCAATTCAGAAGGATCCTCAGGACAAGTAGAGACATGCTCGATGAGTCCACACATATCACATTCGAAAGTGAATTTGGATATAAATCCTTTTCTGTGTTCGCTAATGATGTGTAGATTACTAAAGTTGCATCCAAATGGGGAATGATTCGAAATTTTCTTCAACATATCAAGTAACTTTTGGAAATTCACTATCCTGTATCCTTCAGTTTTTATACTCCTGAAAAAAATGCTTCATCATCATTGAGGACATAACTTGAATCATCTATCGTGAAATGAAACTATTTAAAAAACTTGATATAGTTGAAGTGTAGTTTTGGAGACTGGTTGAATAATCAAAATACTAATTATACTCCAAACTTTAGTAAAGCCTGAATACGTATTTCGGCATCTCAGTTGCCATCCTAAGTAGAACTGAAGAAGAAAAAAAGATTAGCTGAGTCTATAGTATCTTCCGAGACACTCTCCAGAAATTACCAGTGGTACCTAACAGTCAGCTAATCTTTATTTCATTTTCAGTTCTACTGATGATGGTAACTCAGTTGCCAAATACGTTTTTGGGCTTTACTGAATATTGATGTGGTATTTTGGGGTATATTTTGTATTTGGTTAAATTGTTGAAGTCGAGGTTGAAGTACTATTTCGTCAACTGAAAAGCCAATGAAATTCATCAATTTTATATTCACCTTCTGTTACTCATCAATTGGCTGGATGTGACCGGTTCAATATTCTCTTTGTCAATACGATCTCCGAATTCCTTGCTATCCGAAGAACTGAAAAAGCAAATTATTCATTGTATTTGGAAAATGTCTAAAACTATGAAGAAACTTTGGGGAATAATTGTTGACGTGCATTTGTAGGTAACAAAGGTATCAAGAGATGGATTGATAAATCTTGTTGCTATATCGGATTATAGAATTGATGATTCAATAACTTATTAACTTATCAGTAAGTAACCTGTTAATACACTTCCTTACCTACATAATATGGAAATCAATTTTGAATTATGTTTTTTTCCTATTGAAATACATATTATTATTCAGTTACTTACCTAGCTGATTCGTTGTCTGCTCTAATTCGAACAGGTGAAGTTTCTTGATCAGGCTGTAAATCATCTTCA